TTTCTTTCTTTCTTTCTTTATTTATTTCTTCCTTTCTTTCTCTCTCTCTCTATGTCAGTCAGTCTGTCTGTGTGTTTGGGGGCAGTGGTGGGTTTCAAAAAATTTGGGAACCTCTTCTGTAGGTGTGGCCTGCTTTGCAGGTCCTCTTGTGGAACCTCTTCTAACCGGTTCGGTAGATTTGACGAACCGGTTCTACTGAATAGGTGCGACCTGGTAGGAACCCACCTCTGGAGTGACCATAAGCTGAACCTGAGAGCGCATTTGTGCAACATAAGCCCCTTTCAGAGTCTGTCTTATCTCTGATAATAGCACCTCTCAAAAGAAGCCCTACTTGTTCAGGGACAATAGCAGTTCTTTTTACGGTCTGTTTATTTATTAAACTTTATGCCGACCATCTCCCCTACCAGAGTCTCTGCCACTTGAGAGGGATGTCGTGGGATTGCTGCTCTCCCTGCAGGAATAGGTTTCTCAGCACCTGCCTTTCTTCTACCTTTAATTTTTCCTTCTTCCAGAAAAAGATCCGCCCAACCATCCAAAGAAGAGGCCTGTCTGCCATGGCCCATTTCCTTTTTGGGCCTCCTCGTCTTCATCAGCAGCTGCAGAGCGAGAGAGACTTGGCTCTGGCCATTGCCCAGTGTGAGTATTGCCTCTGAAAATGAATGCAAGCATCTCCCCAGCGGCTCTGCTTAATAATTAATAATTAATGATCAATAATCAATAATTAGTAATTAACAATTACTAATTAACAATTAACAATTAATCATCAATAATTAATGATTAATGATTAATAAGATCTCTAAGATCTTTAAGCTGAGAGGCTGGATGCCTTATTTGGGCCTTAGGAAGCACAAAGTGAATGGAGCCAATATTGAATGTAGCTCAGGGTTGAATGGAGCTTGGTGCTCTCTTAGCTTGGTGGTTTTATTGCAGAGGTTTCTTTACCCACTAGGTAACGTCACCAGTGGTCTGAAGATGTTACCTAGTTCAGTAATGAAATGCTATAGGTTATAGTTATATTCCTTTTAAGATCTTTGGCCTGCCATTCACTCTCTCTCTTTTTCTTTACTATGCTGTTCATTAGTGGGGAATTGGGAGGGGGGAATAGTAAGGAGTAGAATGTGTTTGTTTTCAAAA